CTGCAGAGCACTCTTGGCATCTCAGGAAAAAAAAGGGGCAAAAAAAAACAGCTAGGGGGGCTAAGCAGGCACCCAGCTGCCAGCCAAGGCCAATGAAGAGCTGTACCCAACAATAAATAAAAGCAACTCAATAAAGGCCCCTCTTCCAAAGCACAAGTGGGAGGCAGGAGGGAAAGACCTCTGCACCACTGGTGTCCCAAACCTCTCCCACATGACAACAGTGAGAGAAGTGCTCTGCTCCTCAGAGCTGAAGGAGGAGCAGGGCTGAAGTGCCCATGGAGTGCCCTCCCCTGCTTTGTTTCTGCCAGGTAAAAATGACATTGCTTGCACCTCCTGTTTGCTATGAACATCCCAGGAGAGAGAGCATGAAGCAATGGCCCCGGCTGATTACCTTGTATTAAGAGCAAGCAACACATTCAGCTTCAAAACTCAACTTCAAAGGGGTCTGGAAACACCTTCACTCTCTGAGAGAGAAATTAGCAAGTCAAGAAGGGAGCTGTCTAGAAATTGGGATCCGTAACATCCTGAGAAAAAATAGCTACAGGGAAGAACGCGCTGCTTCTGGAAGCTCCCAGGAGCATACTGAGAGGCACCTCTGCCCTGCAGCCCTGCTCTCCCTTCCACCTGAAGCAGGACGACCCTCTCATTGCAGGAACTCAACAAGATTTCCTCACAAAACAGTGCTCTATGCTCGAAGACACCCGTCGTTCTTTCTCTTTTCCTGTCAGAGGAAAATACAGCTGTATAGAAAAAGAAGCCAGAAGTAACCAATACAAAGCAGGAAGGAGCACGGCTGAACTCTGTGCCGCAGGAGCCACAGGCCAGGTGTTTCCCTTATAAATTCAGTGCTTGTTTAATACAAGTAAAAGAAACAGCAAAGTAAAAAAGGACTTCATAGAGGTGGACCTTTAACAGTATGTGGTGGTGGTCAAAACTACTCCGAGCTACAGACAGCACATAGAGTGAAAAGACAGTTCCTAATTTAAAGACCAAGTTTAAAAATACTGCCAGATTGGTAGGAAGGAGAAAAACAAAACCTTAATCAACTCCTTGTGGGAACTGCTTTGTAAATAATGACTTTAAGCCTCTATCAAAGAGGTTCAAGGGAGGTGTTGAGGGAAGAAGAATTAGAAAGAAATGAGTGTAGCTGACAGGTTGTAAAAGGAATAAAATTTTCCTTCCACAATGAGAACTGAGTGCTGAACAAAAGTCACTGATTAAGGTAATCGTATAATGTAACAGGCTAAAGATTGGGCTCACTTTACCCAAAAAAGCTCTGGAAAAAGCTGACCAGCTAAGTGCCTCCTCAGGCTTTATGTATAACTAAAGCCTTTCTCTGCTTCTGAACCTTCAGGTTGAGGTTTCCCCCCTGTGGGAGGCAAAGCAAGCCCTGCTTCTCTGCTATCTGAAGTATAGGATGGGACTGAGCTCCATTAAGCAGGATATTCATTGCTCAGTGCTTCTTAACATACTAGAACATATACCATAATCCTGTTATAGTAACTCATACAACTCAGTTACAACTCATTGTTGTAACACATTAAGGGGGTGATCAGTACTTCCAATACATTTCTTTGAGTTAGATTTCCCACCCACTCCCCTAAACTGATTCCCTGAATTCTTCAAACTCGTGGCTGGAGGCAAAAAAGATGTGCAGTTGGACACCAGGACCACGGGATCCCATTCCCCAAGATCACTCTAGTCATGAGTTTCCCCTCACCTTCTTTTAAACTTTTCTGTTAGAATAAGCAGACTGGATGCGACAATTATTCCCCCCTACTCTTTCATTTATTAATGACAAATAAGACACCACAATTTTAGGGATAACATGCTGTTTGCACAATTGCAACTGTGAGTTAGAAACTAAATTTCATCATCTAATTTGTGCTGTCAGCACCTACACCACTTTTCTGATTCCCTCATCCCCATTTCATAGAGAACGGGACTGAAACGTCCAAGTAACGGAACTTATCAATGAAAAAAAAATATCAAGCTGAAATAATCAAAGAAAAAATCCCAATAGGACCACTCAGATGACTGCACTTAATTGCAGGTTTCTATGCTTTTCTGAATTAGAAACAGATTTGCTTGTCCAAAAGCAACCCACATCTCCCAATTGCCGCTTTGGTTCTGTCATGCTGTCACACAGTTTGCAATGGAGTTAAATTTAATTCTTTGCCTGTAAAACTGTTTTGCATGGCAATCTGAATTTCAGCTCTTACTATCAGTATTATAAAATCAGAATTGGCTACAATTGAGGTAGCTTTGGACTTCAGGGGAAAAGTCATTCTACATTTCCTCTGTGATACATCAAATCCTGAGGTCAATCTCCAGAAGTTTTGTAACAAACAGTACTTCTATAAGAGAGCTAACGCCACTGATCAAAAAGTCAAATTAAAGATAGTCATTTATCTTCCTACTGTGCACTTGCTCCTTTTATCTTTCTGCCTCTAAATGCAACTGAGCATCCAAAACTCATAAAGCTTCCAGCACCAATGAGCTTAATTCACACAGGAAGAACCTTGCTAGGGAAAACGATTCACGTTTTCACTACAGTGCTATGCAATCTGGTCTGGGGCAGTTACCATTTCTCTACCTCACTGATTTAGACTTGCAGGGATGCACGATGTAAGACCCAGTTTGAACAGCTCTAGCAAAGTCCTATCAGGAAAAACATCCTACAAGACAGAAAATGTTCCCTGGGGAGCATTTGTCTAAGCTCAGAGCCCTACTACATTGCTGCAAGGACACAGCCAAAGTGGGGGTGAGGAGCAGGCAGAACTGCCCCGTGAAAACCACATGCCAGACAACAAACTCACAAAATCACTTTCTCTTTCTCTGATCAAGGAGACTCTGAGCAATGAAAGCACAATAGAGAAGAGGTCTCCTAATGAGGTGCCCTTATCAGCCATCCGCCTGCCAGGAGTGGGGGGAGCCCGTCTGCCTGCTGCCCCACACACTGACAGGAGAGCAGCAAGGCACAGCACATACCAGCTACTAACATCTGGTAAGAGCTGATCAGAGCAAAGCTCTGCTGAAAGAGAGCAGCAAATCCAGCAAGATACAGACATTTTTCAAGTAAGCGCTGACTTTCAATCTTTTCTCTCCCCCAGGACTGTCACGTTGGCTGGATTTCTGTGAAATTCTGTGGGGAAAGAAAGTACAACTTCTTCCAACCTATGCTTAGCAGTTGCCCATACATCCCTGTGGGCTCTGTACTAGTCTTAAGGTATGGCAAGATAAAAATTGAAATTAAGTACCTTCCGGTTCCAGCCAAAGGACCTGGCACACAGCCTAACTGTAGCTGTAAAGTAAGTCACCTCCATTACTAAATAAGACTTCATACAGCTGCTGACATTTAACAAATAACAGACAGGAACAAGAAGGGAAGCAGCCAGCAGGCAGCCACAGACTTCCATCCTATCCAACAGCAGCAGCAAAAGAGCTCTCACAGATCTCTCTCAGGAAGGAGCAATATTCCAAAGGTCTTGAGTCTTTTTCCTAGCTCAAGGGCTGATGAGCTCTTCAGAGACAGTAACTTCCTATGCCATCTTCCAAGAAGTTTCTATAAACAATATCCAAGAACAAGACTATTCCTGTGTCCATTGAAAAGATTTTTTTATTATTTTTTTTTTTTTTGCTGGAGGAATTAGAAAAAGCTTTACTGAGCTAATTACAGACTCTGAATTGTATATTCACTTCATATCATGAACTCTTGTTCATGTGAGTGGACATTAAAAAACAGATGTTCACAGAAGCATTGAGCTTTACAGGCAGTATTTTTTTTTTTATTTTTTTTTTTTTTAAGTCAGTCTTCTCTAAAGTTTGTAAGTTGCAGGTGCAGCCTTTCAAGGCAAACAGGACTGAATAGACATAAGATTTTCACCATTCAGTCTCAATCAGTGTCGTCGTCCCCCCTGCCCCCCAAAAAAAAACAACCCACATCTCAGTCATCTTCCCTACAGCTACAACTCCAAGTCTGTAACATCTCACTATGAGAGTTCATCAGCACAGGTGCTGTTAGCTGCACAGAATGGCAGTTGGAAATAATCAAGTAATTTAAGTTTGTTAGGCCACTGCTGCAGTCTTTGGAGGAATACCTGTACTGCAGCATTGGTTTCTGTGTTACAGATGAAGTCAAGTGTATCAAATGAAAAACTACTGGTAACTTTAAGTGATTAAATTAACACCCTGGGCACTGATCTGGCAAACAGTGAAAATTCACTACTCAGCATAGCATAGAAGATTGGAAACATGATTAACAAGATCTGAGATGGTCTCCAGAAGTGTCTGCTTTGCCACTTAACCTTGACCAGGCAAAAAACAGAGGGATGCTCCGTAACAGATGCTCCTACCCACACCTTAATGTTTGTTAATCTCTAGTGACATAAGTGTCCCTCTTACAAGACTTTGTCTCTTAATCTGGGCTTCTGGAAAAGCTTCCCAATTCATCCCGCATTTTACTCCATTAAAAAAAAATGTTTCTCAAGCATTATCTTAGATTATTGGATGAAAAATTACCTTTCAAAGTGACTGGTACTTAGTTCTGACAGTTAAACACAATATAGTTTGATCTTCTCACTTTGGTGGTTCTCTCAGTTGATGAAAGACTTGCTACACATTACTAACCAGTGTCAAGACATTATCTGCCTTCTCCTGTCTACACAGCTTCAGCTCTGTGCATCTCTTTCATGTGTACAATGACTGAGAGAAAGTACCCAAGAATACAACAGTCTATACCTTGGAACCACTCTGACATGCCTAATTGGAAAAAAAATACTGGGGAGTGTCATAAATCTACCAGAAAAAAAACCTTCTCTAGAGGCTGCTAACCTTGGTGACCTGGCAGCACACAAAAATCAAGAACCAACCAAAACCTTACGTATTTGAGCAAAAGAAAGTGACAAGTGAGACCACTATTACAGGGATTCAGGCATTAAAGCTCTTGTGAGCTCACACAGACAGAACTGGGGAAAGAGAGTCAAGAACACGTGTCTTACCTTGAAATAAAAATGCTTTGCTGGCATTGTGCAGTCCTGGCACTTGTGTTACCCCAATGGTTGTATTCATGAGATCCAGTTCTGTGATGATATCAATTTGTAAGTCAGGATCCGTTCCAAATCCTACAGCTGGGATGAGGGAGACAGAGTTAGATCAATTTTTATTTCAAATCAGATAATGAAAAGCATGGAGAAGAATACCTAGTGTAGGCATTTCCATTATCTTTACACACACATCCCGTATACAGTAATTACTAAGAAGACACAGTAATTCTGTTGCAAGAAAAAAAGATATTCTTTTCCAAATCTTTCAATTAAACTATTTCCTTTTCACAGCTTTTATTATGCACAACTTGAAACATCACAAAACTGATACATTAACCCGGCATCTTTTTGAGGCTGAAAGCAATAAATAAAAGCATAAGCACCTACGCAAAAGGATGAAAGAGATGTGCAGCATACAGCTATTGGCTACAGAATTTCCAGGGAGACACAAGGGCTGGAAACTCCTCTCACACTTCACACGGAACTGAGACCAACAGACTAGCCTAAATATGATCTATTTTCCCAACTGCACAAAATGACCCTGGAGGAAATATGGTACCAGGATGAAAGATGTCATAATCACAGAGCCCTAGGTGAGTCACAAAGCCAATAAATCTTATGGAGCACATCTTCTGTATTTAAGCTCAGCCAGCCCCCACAAAGCACACCAGAGCCTACCGACAAATAAGAAATGTTCATTAACTAAACATTCTGATCTGCAGCAGCATGACCTGTAGAAGGCTGAATCCAGACCTAGATTTAGAAAGGTTCATGCCCAAGAAAAGGCTGGTCACCCCTTTAATTGATAAGGGAGTCAATGAAATTGACAGAAAAGATGCACACGCAAGTAGCTTAAAGTTAGTGCCTTCAGAAGTTCAGGGCAACTTAATGGCTACGGTACACTGAATTTTTAAACGTATCTCCTTTCTCAAGGGATGGCAACAGGCCAGCCTGACCGCAGCATCTTTCTCAGTGTAGTAATAAATATAGCACGAGACCTGTGCCTGAGACATAGGTCAAACAACCTCAAGCAGGATCCAAGCACTTTCCTAACGAAAATTTTTGCTAACATCATTAGTAATTGGAACAGGCTCAGAGAATGAAAGCCTGATGCAGCCAAGTCAACGGGAAAACTCCCACTGACTTCTGTGGGGCAAGGACATTACCTGTGAAACACATCTGGATTGATATCCACTGAGTGGACTCCACATTCAGGTCTAAATTGATTTATTTGGCATTCCAAGACTGTACTTCTGGATCATTTAAACAGTCTGATTCTTTGAAAGGCTCTAAAAAAATTACTGAGGTGTACAGAATGAACAAGAAGTTACGTATTCTGCTCATAAATCATCTGTTCCACAGTACTTTCTCCTTTATTTGGATGTTAAAATGCCTTCTGATAACAAGCTGTGCTAACACAGAGGACGCTACTGCACAGTAAGCTGAGTAGTAAAACACAGACACTTTTAGTAAAAACAGACAGTTTTAAAAAGGTCTCTATCAACCTTACTCTGCAATGAAAACCAAGATGCAGAGGCACTGGCAGAAATGAACCTCCAGAAGTGCCAATATATCAACATGTCCACATACACAGTGCTTTCATGAGGATGTGGGGATAAATACCACTCTATAGAAAGTTGAAATTGGACAGATGAACCCAGATAAACTTCTTCAAAAGAAAAAAACTTCACAGGTAGTCAGCAACATCATCAAGTTTCAGTACTACCTGTGTCACCACCCATCCCAGATGCTCAGGCATTGCAGGGCTACAACCGATGCTGAGACCAAAAACACCTGTGAGAAACCTACAGCAACTCTTCCAGTGCAAGGGCTGCAACCTGAGATCCTCCAGCACAAACACAGATAATGAAATATTATTAGAGAGAGCAGCCTTTCTGGTCAAAAAATGTTAAAGCAAAGGTTGTTTTAGAAGGAGAAAAAAAAAAAAAAAAAGAAAAAAAAAAAGCACTTATTATTTCTTCAAAAGGATTTTATTCAGGAGAAAAGCCACACATTGTAAACTGTGCAAACTAACTTATCAGACAATCTCACCTCCCCTACCAAGAGGGGAGTATGCTCTTCCTAATTGGAAAGAGGTTAGATGTGTCTGGAGCACCGAGAGCCTACTGCTATGAGGGCAGACAGAGACTAAAACTTGCTCAACAGAAAGGACAGACCACATCCAATAAGACAAATCCTGACCCCGTTAAAGGCAGTGAATGCTCCACCACTGACATCAAGAGGGTGAGGACAGAAACCACATCCAGCACGTATAGACACTCCCATAAATCACCGAAGCTCCGCTGCTCTGTTAAGGCTATTTATTCCAGCCTGGATACCCGGGGCTCAACAAGTACCGATCAACTGCAGCTCCATAGATTTCAATTCATGCCAGGGGGGAATCCTGTGTGACAACTTCAGTGTGCCCCCTCCCAGCTTTTCAAGTGCTTTCAAGAAAGAAGATGATTTCCAATGTCACAGCATCCATTTAGCAAAAGACTAACGTTACATTAAATACATTGTCATTTTTAGTCATTTTCCTGTGCTGGCTCTCCAGCCTACAGCAAGCACTCAGAAGCCTTGTTAAATAATTAATAGACAACAAATCAGCAGCTTCAGTATCATAACTAAGTCTCCTTTTCCCCTGTGGTCTCTCATGCTCTATCAAAAGGATTCCACAAGCATACCAACTGCATCTAGCATGTTCTGCTGCCTCCCTTCAGCAGAAAGAAGGCTGGAAACACTGCTTCTTTTGGAAGTCAAGATTAACCATCAACCCATAAGTCCTTACTGGAGAGCTGTGCAAAGCTTAGGCTTCATCCTGACCAACGGTGCTTTCAATTCCTATTTAAAGTAATTGGGCCATTTCCCTCACATCAGTGGCTTACACAAGCAAAACTCCAGCTAATTCACTCAGGAGGCAGGCACAGAAATCATCTCAGGACTTGGTGGATTTGGCCCAACGCAAATTGAAGGCACTAGAGTAGATTAAAGGATTAAGCCATATAATTATGAGTGATGTCACCAGGAAATCCCTAAAAGAAATTAATTCCACCTCACAGCTCCTACAGCTCATACTCTCTGCTTGCCCCTTTATCATCAGCACTCAAGCCCTGGCAATCACACCACGCTCCAGCTAGCAGACGCGCTCCGTATGATGCGTGCAACACATTCAGAATTTCCTCCACCCCGCTGCGTGCGGGCTGCCTGGGGACAGAGAAACTTTCAAAGCACAGCCGACACAGCCCAGCCGTGCCCACAACCATGTGCAATCATTCAGGTGGTAAGCGGAACCTCCACCTGAGGCACTTCGCACGGCCCTCCCGCAGCTCCACCAGTAATTGTTGCACACAAAGAACTTTCCGAGCAGCTCCGCAATCCCGAGCAGGAGAGTTCGGGCTCCTATTTACCACCTCAAGCGCCTGGGTGCGCTGCTGGGGGGAACGCTGCTAGGAAAGGGCGATCGGCACGCTCTCCCAACTATTCCACGTACACCGCCTCTCAAAACCAACGAACGTCAATGGGAAAACACTAAGAACAATTTTAAAACAGCGCTTCTGCCAATCGCACCGGGAAATCTCCCTGAGAACACCTACAGACACCAGCGAGGAAACGTCCCCCGGGCGAGCAAGGATGCGCTCGGGATAAAAGGGAGAACAAAGCCGCCGCCGAGGACAGGCTCCGGCAGCGCTCCTCGGGGAAACGGCACCGCGGCCCCACGGGCTGCACCGCGGCCAGCACCGGGCACGGCGCCGCCGGATCAGCCCTCCCCGCTGCTCCCGGCTCGCAGCCCCGCGGGGCGCAGCCGCCGCCCCGAAACTTTCCCTCGCCCACACCAACGCCCTCGGAGCCGCCGCTCCCCGCCGCAGCTCCCAGAGCCGGGGCTCGGCCCACGGCCCCCCGCAAAGTTTCCACCCGCCGGGCTCCTGCTGCGCTCCACCGGGAGACGGCCCCGCATCCCCGTCCCGTCCCTCACCTGCCCCGGCGGCGGCCGCACACGCCCAGAGGAGCGGGAACAGACCCATCGGCGCGGCGCGGGCGGCGCCCGCCTGCCTCCCTCCCTGCCGGCAGCTGCTGCGAAACGGAGCCGAGCGGAACGCAGCCTCCAACGCGCGGAGCGGCTCCGGCAGCGGCGGCGGCTCCGCCCGCTGCCCAGGCACAGCCCCGACGCCCCCGCGGCGGGGGCTCCCCGCCCGCCCCCCGCCGTGACGCGCGGGCCCCCCCGGGCCTCGCCAGCGCCGCCCCCCGGCCGCCGGGTGGGAGCGGCCCCGAGCGCGGACCCCGGCCGCCGCCCCCCTGGCTCGTCAAAACGATGAGCCCCCTGCGCCGCCCCGTAGGCTGCGGGAACGCCGGAGAGTAGCGCGGAGATCCGTGCCCTGCCGCGGTCTTCCCGGTGTCCTTGCTCGAGTCGCTTAGCCGCTCTCTCCTCCACGTCTGTCAAGCGTGAAAAGGAGAAAGCGCTTCAGCATACTTGCAAGTCATCTGAGATGCTGCTCCAATGGCTGCTCTAAAGAATCGCTTCACCTACTTTTTTTCTCTCCAGCCACGATTTCAACTCACTCGTATAGAGAAAATTGGCTCTACCTCACAATTTCCCCCCATCCCCTTGGGCACCTGATTTAAAGTTGGGTTAGAGATGATAGGCTGGAGCTCCCATAAGGCTGGTCCTGCTTCGTTACAGTTCCAATCAAGCCCCAGCTGGTGGAAAGGTTGGGGGGCTCCTCTCTGCCTTTTCACCTCACCACACTGTGGTTAGGCTCTGCTTAACACAAAGCTAGGCCAGTTCCCACACAAAAAAAAAATATTAAAGTGTACATTTGGAGAAAGCTAGGATGACACAAACAACAAAATAAAAAACTAGATTGGACATAAGGAAGAAGTATTTTACAGTGAGGGCAGTGATGCACTCGCAAAAGTTGCCCAGAGATTTAGTGGAAACCCCATCCCTGGACACATGTGAGGTCAAGTTGGATGGGGCTCTGCACGCTTGATGAAGCTGTGGGTGTCCCTGCTCACTGCAGGGGAGTTGGACCAGGTGGCCTTGGAAGGGTCCATTCCAACTCAAACGATTCTAGGAAAGAAGAACATAAAAATAAATAAAATAGAAGCTATTCCCTTTTTAGGGGGCATTTGTGATTGTGCACATTTACAACAGCGTGATCAGAAGGCATGGCTGCCTAATCGTTACTTTAGTAAGATCACTGAAAACAGCTGTTCCTGGCTGCTAGCAGGGTGTGCACTCCAGGAAACCCCGGGGTGCTCTTCCCTGCAGCATTTCAGCCATTTGCCTCCAGTTTCAGTAAACAGCCTTCACTCAAATGTAGCTTGCTTTTGTTCAGTGTGCCATGTTATCAGCACTACTGCTAGCCCTCGGGCATGGAGAGGTGTATTGTATACACATGTGTATATGTCATGTAGCCATAGCAACAAGAAAACAAAGCAATGGCACATCCTCAGGTGAAGGCACACCTTTGTATCCCATCTCAGTACTCTGATGTAAGACATTTCTTTCTAGGAAATACAGCTATGCTTCCAATTCATGACAGCTTAGTTACATTTGTGCTTATGAAATAACAAAATCAGGGTTTATCTACACACAAAATCAAATCTAATACAACTGAAGTTTCACTATGGCTTTCACTTCTAAGCAGAACTGGTGCAGAGCATTTAGTGGTTATGCAGTCTAAACTGGTATTACAAAGATTTGTAAGAAACGTAATTAGCTTTAGCCTGAATCTGGATTAGCTGATATTTAAAAAATCACCATGAACACAAGAAAAAAAAATGCCCTGGCATATTCTCACCTCTGTTGTGAACAGAAGATCACAGAATCACAAAGGCTGAAGGAGACTTCTAAGATCCCCAAGTCCAATCCCAACCCATGCCACCATGCCCACTGACCACATTTCTCAGTGCCACATTTCCACACCCCTTAAACACCCCCAGGGACGGTGACTCCACCACTTCCCTTCTCACCATCCCTGGCTTGTTATTCTGTTGGACAGAGCCCACAGGCAGCACAGCAAATAGCCTGCCACGTGGGCAGAAGCTCTCTGCACAGAGCAGGTTCCATGACATGGGTCCTCCCCTACCCCTGTGCCCAATGATCATGACCTGGCTAAGCACTAGTTATTTTGCATGCACTTATATTGGAGAAGAATAGAAAGGAAGGACAAAAAAAAAAAACAAGAACAACAACAAAAAAAAAACTAAATAGCTTTCTCCCCACCAACACTGTCCCCATACCTACTCAAATGGCAACAAATTATAGTTAAAAAAAAAAAAAAAAGAAAAATCTGATATTCTGGTATGAATCTAGTTAGAAACATAAATAGCCACAAGGCATGACATTCAAATAAGACTTAGAGCTGTGTTCATGAACATTCGTAGCAATTTAAAAAAATCTGATGGCACTTTAGCAAGTATGAAGTGTTATTCCTGGCAAGCTAGCTGGATTTCAGGTCGGATCATATTCCTGTGAAAGACTGTTCTTGCACAGCAAGCTGGACACTGAATGCTTCTTGATTTTGACCTAAATTATGGTGACGTTGCTAGCTGTGTGGTGTTAAGCTGCTAGTTCTCCCAGCCACAAAGCTTGCGGCATTCTGTTATTTGATGGAGAGTTCCTGACTACGCCTGGCCTCTCTCAGATGGCAGCAATGCTGTTTGCAGCTCTCAGACAGCAGACAATTAGAAGTGCTAAGTATTGCTCACAGTGCTGCCAAGCATAGGCTGGGTTGCCAGTGGATGTGCAGACACTGGGGAGACAGCAGTGCTCACACCTGGAGAAACACCTCCTACTTCACGGGGTAGGAAATCTTCCCGTTTCACTCGTGGTAAGGCTCAATCCCCCAGAAGCCTGCTTCCTGAGCTGCTTGGCTGTTCATACAGGCAAAGTTTACTTTGCAGGCAGTAGAGGGCAACAAAGTACAGCACCAAAATACTAAGTGGATTTACAGAGGATGCTGCTACACCCACCTGTCCTACCCACTGATATGCAGCTCATCACAACTCCTTAATGTCAGTCCAACAGGTTCAGGGTACCCACGTTAAGCTGTATAATCACATCAGCAGCTTCCAAATCTTCCAGCACAAGGCCTGACAAAGAGAAATCCTTCATCTACATCAGTGCTCAGCTGTGCTGCTTTTTTAATTCCTAAGTGCATGGTTAGATCATATCTAAACTAAGTTTTGAAACTGACCTATTCTGCAGAGAAGGACTTGGGGGTCCTGGTGGACGAGAAGCTGGCCATGAGCCAGCAGTGTACGCTTGCAGCCCAGAAGGCCAACTGTGCTCTGGGCTGCATTAAAAAGGGGGTGGCCAGGGAGGTGATTGTCTCCCTCTGCTCAGCTCGGGCCCATCTGCAGTGCTGCGTCCAGGCCTGGGGCCCCCAGCACAGGAAGGATGTGGAGCTCATGGAGTGGGTCCAGAGGAGGGCACTGAGATGATCAGAGGGCTGGAGCAGCTCTCCTGTGAGGAAAGGTTGAGGGAACTGGGCTTGTTTGGCTTGGAGAAGAGAAGGCTCCGGGGAGACCTCATTGCAGCTGTCCAGTACTTGAAGAGAGCGTATAAACAGGAGGGGGAATGGCTGTTGATGAGGGTGGATAGTGATAGGACAAGGGGGACTTATGTTAGATGTTAGGAGGAATTTTTTCACCCAGAGGGTGGTGACACACTGGAGCAGGTAGCACAAGAAGGTTGTGGATGCCCCATCCCTGGAGGCATTCAAGGCCAGGCTGGACGTGGCTTGGGGCAGCCTGGTCTGGTGGTTGGCGACCCTTCATGTAGCAGGGAGGTTGAAACTTGATGATCATTGTGGTCCTTTTCAACCCAGGCCATTCTATGATTCCATGATTAGGCTGATACAAGATGTGCCCTTGGGTCTGCAGTTTTAAGCAGCAGAGCCTAGCGGTGACAGCGAAGGATTACCTCTTCTTCCCAGATCAGTGTGTTATATCATTGACTACTATTGTTCGACTTTGGAAATCTGACCAATTCCCTGTGCCTCAGTTTTTCCTCCTAATGAGGAGACCAATGGCATTCACCTGCCTCTCAGCACTCCTGCAGTGCTCGCTGATAACTGCAGCCCTTTCCAACATGGAATCTGTCTTACATGCACAAAGAATTCCCGCAGTACTCCATCATTAGGTCGGAGAAAAGTAAGTTTTCAGGTAAAAGAAACAAAAACTTTTCTGGCTGGAACTGACTACCAGAACAGCTGGAGCAGTGCACGTGACTGTTGGGTCACCCTCAGGATGAGGCTTGGAATTGCCATCACATTCTTGGCAGAGCACTCATGTATCATTTGCCACCATATCTGATGCCGTGTTATGATCAGCTATCACACTTCAGCTATTGTATTTTGCGGATGCTTATTAAAAGCTTGTTTCCCAGAAGAGGAATCGGTCAGATTAGTATCATTAATGTTGTTAAGTATCATTAGTACAGCAGTACTGCAGCACAGACTGCTTTGTATTGCACTCACCACACTGCAGGAATTCAGCTTTAAACCAAAGGTGTGATAACATCAGGAAACGTGGGCTTAGCCTTCATTCTTCTCTTGCCTCTGTCCCCTTTCCCCTTCTGTTTGTTTGTACTTCCATCAGATATGAACCTCCCTTGTTTGTAACAATTCAACAATCTTTGGGGTGACTTAATTGATGGGATAAAAAGGATTTAAACAAAGCCAGTTGTTCCTCTGATAAGTAATCAATTATTCTACAAGCTCCCGAGCACGCAAACAGTTACAAACCCAGCCATTTAATTGATTCTTGTTTCTGCAGCTGTGCAATATCTCCCTTTCCCAAGAGGGCTGTTTCCAGTTGCTGCTCAAGGTTTCTAACAATCAAATGGATCAATTCTGCAGATACCTTAAGGCTGTGTGTTAAGTAAGAATGATGTTTGTAGTTCATGTTGGGTAGGGAAAGGGAGTAGAAAAGCAAATATATTCACCAGGAAATGTTAAGTAATTTTGTTTTAAACACTGGACATTTATTTAGAGTCTTTAGAGCCCATACATTATTGAATAATTTTAATTTATCACATCCAAATATAATAGGCAAATATATAATACAATAAATTGCATTTGTAGACATAAATACAAAATTTGAGGTAGGGCCTCAAGAATAATGACTTCTTAAATGAATAACGTACAGCATTA